GATCCCTGCCGGCGGCTAGCTGTCCGCTCCTGTTCGATGCCCAAAGAGGCACGGATTTGTAAAGCTAATGATTCTGTCCAAGGTGTTTGCATACTTCAGACACCTTGCATCCGGGTTGTTGCTCCTTAAATAGTTTCCCAAGGGGCAGCTGAAGAGTAGAATCTGTTGTTTCATGTAGAGGGACCTCAGTATTTCAGTTATCGTTGCTTGGTTTCAAACTTGCTTGGTTTTATGTCTAGTGGCTCTTTGAGTTACTACTTTAGTGATCTGCCTCTTGCCACAGAGATAATAATCCTGTGGATCCAGCCTAACATTTCTGTATTTCCACTGCAAGGATCTCCCAGTGTTCTGATCGGACATTCCATCATTAAGATACCACATAATTTTCTTGATACTTGGAGCTTTTTAAAATAAGTTTTAAATTGTTGATACACAACAATAAAATGTTCTTTCTCCCAGGAGTGTCATGTAACAACTTAAACTTCTCACGTGAAAACAGAAAATGGCTTCGAGAGGAACAACAGAGACCAGTAAGCTAAAACAAAACTTGGAAGAGCAGTTGGATAGATTAATGCAGCAGCTTCAAGATCTGGAGGAATGCAGGTAATAAAAATAGATGCTTTCCTCTTATATGGTAGTGTTTTTCTTAAGTGGTGGCAGAAGTGGAACCTTGCAAAAATCTTGTGGGGGTTTTTTTTTTATTTTATGTTTTGCTGGGGCTTTATATTTTTTAAATTACGTAGGATGTTTGTGTTAGTAAAATTATTTAAAAAACCTTTCCCTTTATTAAGATATTTATCATTTTCTTGAGGAAAATGCGGGCAGAAATACTTGTTACTTTTTTCTTTGAAATTTTATATTTCATTGTGACTTTTTAACTTTTAATCGCTGTTTGCGGAATTTGCGATTTTCGTATGGGCTTTTTTAAGAGCAGCAAATAGCTTTTGTGTCTTTTTTTTGTCTTATAATTATGGGTGTTTGAGTTTGTGGAGGTTTTTTTTAGTTTGTCTAACCTTTTCATGTGATTCTGTGTTGGTTTTTTGTGCGCTAATAAAATTTGAGACAGACTGAATTGCCAAGGAGAAAAGGGTGTTTTTCTGTTTCAGTACTTGCACTTAAACATCCTGTGTGGTTTTATATGTTTTCTCTGACTACAATTCTAACTTTTCCAAGCAGCACCTATTTTTTTAAAGAACAATTACAGCTGCTAAGGGTTGGTAGTGCCGTTCTTTGAACAAGGCAAGGTTTAGACAGCAGGATCAGTTATTGCTGAATAACGTGATGGTTTGGGGGTGAGAAGATGGGCTTTTCAGATAATTTCATTCACCGTAGCTTTGAGCAAGACATTCTCACTGCATATTTTTGTTGAGATCCAAAATGCTCTGTGAAATGTTGGATCAAGTGTTGAGTATCTCATAGTTGTCAGGGCCTTTTTAATACAGGTGACTTCATACCAACAACACAAGCGCATGGGTGGCTGGGAGGTGGTACAAAACCAAGAAAGCTACATATGCGTTAGCTAAACGACAGCTAAGAGGGCTAGAGCAGAATAATCTGAAGTGATGTGAATGTTTTCATTGCTATCTGAGGACGCGTGCCTTGTGATATTCCCTGGTGTCCTCCTCTCCATGTTACATCTCAGGTTTAGTCCTATGAATTAATGTGTTCTGTTGGATCCTCCTTAGAGAGGAGCTAGATGCAGATGAGTATGAAGAGACCAAAAAAGAAACTCTAGAACAGCTGAGTGAGATCAATGACTCCCTGAAGAAGATTATGTCTGGAGATATGACTTTGGTGGATGAGCTCAGCGGGATGCAACTGGTAAGGATGATGTGTTACTAAATATAGTTCACGTTCTGCCTGGACTCAATGAAACAGAAAATAGGTACAAATGGTTCATTATAATTTTTAGACAGGCACATGTGAAAGCTAGTTCTATGTTTCTAATGTTTATATTATTTAATATATGTGTACATATAAAAACTTGGTTAGGTCTCTTCAGTTAAAAAGAAAAGAAATATTGGAGAATTAGAACCATAACGCTGTAGAAAAAACTGTGGGAAACTGCAGGGGCTAAATATAGCACATCCTTAATATTAGAAAATAAAATAATACAAATTAATTTAAAAGGTGTGAAGGACAATCCGGGACAATATATATTGTGAGAAATAAAGTTCCTGTCTGTTTGTTAGAAAGCATAAACATAACATTTCCTCGCTCTTACTGGTTTGTATTTCAGAGGTTCATACCAATCCAAATGAAGAGGCTGTAGGATTGACAGTGTAACTTTAAGGTCTTTTAGTGAATTGATCTTATTTTACGCTGACTTCCAAACTGTCGATCTGTTTTCTCTCTTTTCAACGTTTAGTTGGAGCATCATTTGTTCCTTCAGAGCCCTGTGTTTTAGGGGTTTGTTTCCAGATGATTTATCCGAACATAACAGTGGTGAGATTTAATCATAATAGTTTTGATATTCCATAGAGGATTTTGAATAACAGTAGGAGATCACCCTCATCATTTACATTCTGCTTACTCTTAGAAGAGCTGTAATCATCAGTGTGGGCATTAAAACTGCTAAAGATAGCATAGCGCATCCACTTGTGATGTACTAATATCAGGAAGATGTTGGAAATTATTAGAAATTAAGACCTGGACTGTAATGGAAAGTTTCACAGCTCTTTCTCAGCACTATTTAGTGGATTTTTCAAGCCCTGCATAAAGGTCATATATTTTTTCATCTCACTTCCGGGGTTATGCAAAAAAAGAAAAGCTCTCTTCATCAAATGATGCAGAGGATACTAATGGTGCTTTCCAGCCTTCGTTAGTCTTGTCATGCAGCTATAGCTTGTGACTATTAGTTCTGGTCATTCTTGCTCTTTTCCTTGTAGGCAATACAAGCAGCCATCAGCCAAGCATTTAAAACTCCAGAAGTAATTAGAATGTTTGCAAAGAAACAACCAAGGCAATTGAGGACAAGGCTGGCAGAGGTGACTGTTTCTGTTTTACTGTAAAAACTGTTTATTTGAGCCGGACTGATTTAAATGTGTAACGATTGCAAAGAGAGCGCCAAGTGTGTTAGAAAACTTGGTGGCAGCATCATAAAGAGATAGCAAAGTTCTCTTTCAGAATTTGTTCAGTTTTAAATGTTCCTTGAGGTAATGGGGACAACGATGTGTATTTCTTGAATTATCTTCTATCTTGCTGCTTCAAAACAAAATGTGATTAACCGATAGTGAACTGAATATAACTGTAAATATAAAATCTGAAGTGTATGAATCTGTATTTGTATTGAGGGGCTGGAAAGTGCGCTCAGTTTTTCAGAGATCTGGACTGAACTTGAGATCCAGACAAAGTGAAATGAAATGCAATTCCTCCATGTATCAGTGATATCTGAATCCATCATTTTGAATGAATAGCGGTCTTTGATTGAAAAAGATTCAAGTTTGGAGAAATCAAGAATGGTTAGGTGCAAAGAGTGTTTGCAGAATGGTCAGAAAAACTTCATGGACATCTTTTAAATTATGGGTAGCTCTGTCCCTTACTTCCACGGGTACCACGCTTATTGATGATAGTTCTAGGCTGTTGCATTGCTCGTGCTGTTGTGTGAGTGAAACTAATGGGAAGCTTACATATTTTGACTTATTTCTTCCCGCCCCCCCGGTATTCAGATGGACCGAGACTTAATGGTGGGAAAGTTGGGACGAGAACTATACACACAGCAGAAAGTGGAAATCCTGACTGCCCTCAGAAAGCTTGGAGAGAAGGTGAGGTGTTGATATGATAGGTGAACAGAAATTTCTATCTGTATATTGAAGAGGAATTCGAAATCTTTAAGAAACTACAATTCTTGTTTATGAGCAAATAATAAAATGCAGCTCACTTTTGTAGTACATAAACTTCCTTCCATTTTAATGCTAAGCTTTCTGAAACACTACTGAATCAAATAGCATTGTACGTTTATCTAAGGCTATTTCTACTTTAAAATGCTTTGTTTGGTGGGCCATATGAATGAGTCACATATAAGCTGGTATAAGTTGATGATACTTATAAAAGCTACAAAACATGGCTTTTGCTGGCTAACTCCCACCTGTCCACCTGGCAGGAACTGTCCAAGACTTTTGACATACATTGAACTTTACTTACTTTTGTATTGGTGATAACACCTACCTCTTGGTGTAAAATAAGTAAATTGGAGATGTGAGTGATAAACTGTGTCCCTGAGGAGTACATCAGTGGCAGAACAGTCCGTGTTTTTTACCACTAGAGGGAGGAAGAGTTGTTGTTATTTCTTTTTGTTGATGGTATATGAAGAAAATGGGTTGCTGTACTTAAACTTTCTTAGGAAATGAGGGAATGTAATGGAAAAGATCAAGTGCAGCACTTAAAGGATCTGCATTCCAAGTAGATACTATTTAGCAAATGCTTTCCCTAAGAATATTTTTATTACTTGGCTGTCAGAGAAAAAAGTGGTTTGGAAATAGGTTAAAAGGCTAGTTAAGCTTGTGAACTGAATGCCTGAAGATACCTAATCCTCTTGGCATGAGTTCCTGGGATCACTTCAGACAAGCCACTTCACCACACGTTGACATAGCCTCTTTATCTTTTAAAATTTTCAGTAACCTATTTCACAGAGAACTTGCTAGAATAGTAGTTTCACATCTGTTCTGAATGTGAAAAATTACAGAAAATATTACAAGTTTATCTGCATAATACTGCAAAATGTCAAGTAGTTAGATGCTTGCTTACAAAGCACAGCAAAGGCAGATAATCAATACTTTTCCCCCTCACTCCAACATCATTCTGAACGCCTGTACCTGTTTTTTATATTTTTAATAAACAAACTGACACAAACATTCTGGACAGTTTGACACACTTGTGCTTTGTTTTAATAAGGATTTGTATCTAAGGCTATTTAAATGAACAAGTTTTAACATAGAATATTTGAACCTTCCAAATGTAGGTTACTACTTCATTATTGTAAATATTTTATGGGCATCTGTCATAAGGCTTCAGAGCACATACATAAAAGCAAAATATACATGTGCAAATGTCACTTTAAAGGAAGAAAACCATTTCTAGGTAATTGACTCTTAACATGGTCAAAGCTGGTAGTGACTGCATATTTTCACTTTACTCAGTAGATGATATGGAGTGAGCTTAGATCTTAGCTCATTACCGTATTGACTGCATGACAAAAAATAATCTACATCCTTTGCATAGTTTTGGTACAGAGGTACAGTGTGACCTTTTATTAAAAAATTATCACTGGCGGTCAGCTTGAAACTTAGCAGTACATGTGGAGGCATGTCTGATGTTGCATATGCTGTCCTTCCTGGGCTGACAGATGCCACTGAGAAAAAATTCAGTGGTAGGGGGAGTAGCTTGCATTTTTACTTCAGCTTTTAATATATTAGATAACACTGCCACTTAAAAACTGCAAATTGGCAATCGCTGTAACCTGTCCTAGTTCATGTACGTGGCCATGTGGATGGTGGGAATTACAATGGTGAGACTATGCACAGATAAGGTACAAAGCTCACAGTTACGGCCTCTTTTTGATTTAGCTCACTCCAGATGATGAGATGTTCTTGTCAGCAAATGCTGGTACGGCCCTGAGTCAGTTTGAGAGAGTCTCCACTGACCTTGGTAAGTTTTCATTCTCATAACTTCCAATTTCTTTGCCTCATTGAACACTGATTAGTAGAAATACCTGTGATTCCCATGTGGAAGAGAAAATGCAAACGAAAGGTTCGTGACATTAAATTTTGATGTACTTTTTTCTATTTTATTAACAATGAAATGCTGATACGCTATCCATGAGGAAAAAGTAACGCAGCAAGTAAACCCAGTGCCAAATGTCCATAAAATGCCAAGTGTTGCCCATAATGCTGAAGGCTTGAATGGTCTGTCTCAAGTAGAGATACCATTCTTACAGTTAAACACAGGTCTCTCTTGCATTAATGACTGTCTTCAGCAGAGCCTTTTCCTCTGCTTGATAGAGAGAATTCAGCAATTATTGGCACATTGTTAAAATACAGCTTTAAAGTACTCTTCTTGTCATGATTGTCATAACTAATCATACTGACAAGACCAAAAGTTCTGTTACAATATGCATTAAATGAGCACAACAGCTCATTCTAGCATTACAGTTAGAACTGTGATGAAAGAACTATGAATGGCAGGAATGTGCCAGTCTAGGTCAGGGTACAAACAAACTGACTCTGTGACCTACCTTTCAGTACTCCTCTTCCTGAGAGTGTAAGCAAGGTGAGAACCTTTTGTTCAAAAGGGTACTTCGTTAGAAGTTCTCTCTGTGTGTGGTGGGTTGACCTTGGCTCACCACCAGGTGCCCACCAAGCTTTTTTTTGAAAAAGTCGTGGGTCGAGATAAAAGCAGTTTAAAAAAAAAAAAAAAAAAAAAAGCAAAAGCTGTGCACGGAAGCAAAGGAAAATAAAAAATTTATTCTCTACTTCCCATCAGCAGGAGATGTCCAGCCACTTCTTGGGAAATAGGGCCACAGTACATGTAAGCAGTTCCTTCTGAAGACAAATGCCTTAATAACAAATCCCCCACTTCCTCCTTATTTCTAGCTTTTATTGCTGAGCGTGGTGTCATATGGTATGGAATATCCTTCTGGTCAGTCTGGGTCACCTGTCCTGGCTATGTCCCTTCCCAACCTCTTGCCCACCCCTAGCCTACTGGCCTTCGGGGTGGATGCTGTGCCAGCGCTGCTCAGCAGTAGCCAAAACATTGGTGTGACACCATCCTAGCTACAAGTACAAAGCAGGGCAGTATGAGAGCTGCTATGCGGAAAGTTAACTCCATCCCAGCCAGACCCAATAGAACACAGCTGGTTTCAGACCTGTCAAGCCAGTATGTCTCCTTTTTTTTTTTTTTTTTTTTTTTTTTTTTTTTTTTAAATTAGCTTGTGTGTTCTAGTTTTCAAAATGTAGGTTTGATTTCTTTTGATCTCAAATGTTTTACTTGATTTAAATTGTATATAAGGAAAGTCACAATTTCTATTAATACTTACTGAAAATGTTTTTTCCTCTCATAGGATCAGGAGACAAAGTCTTTGCTCTAGCAAGTTTTGAAGTAGAAAAGGCAAAACAATGAAGAGGTGCGTGAGGCTTGTGTCCCTCCACTTATCAGCAGCATTGGACTTCTGTCATACTGCATTTGGTTTTTCTATTTTTAACACGTTGAAAAAAAGAAAAGCAAAACCAAAACAAAAAACAAAACCCCAAACCCTAAACCTCTTGGGTTCTTAACCAGAAGATATGAAGCAAACAGCCTTAAGTGCACTTTGGAACCTTGGTGTCTGTACCCCTTAGTAACACAAGCTCTGAGGCTGAACACTAAATGGTACTCTAAAAATGAAAGCATGGCGTGACTGTCTTTGGAAAGAATCAGCTATTTTGAACTTTTCTGAATGTGTATTTCTCTAACTATTAAAACTTAATCTTTTTGCATGTGGTTGTAGCAAGCAGATGTTTTTCAGGACCAGTCCTAATGAGTGAGTGGGCTTTTTGGTGATTCATCATGTTGCTCTCAAGTTGTCTTAATTTTTGTCTGGACTCCCTACTAAGTAGTTTATATTAGGAATGCATTGAAGCTTTGAAAAATTGACATAGTTTATTTGAAATGCCATCTTTCCCCAAACTGTTTGCAGGAGAACCTAAATGAGACTGTATGCTGATCATTGGCCATTAGCTGCTTGTTTGCTGTGCACATGAATGGGTGCCCTTGTGTCCTAGCCTTGACTGACAAACAATGGAAGCCCTGTAGGGAGGCTTCTGGAGTAATTTAACCTTGTATATTGAAATGACAGGGAATTGTTAGGAAATGGCAATGAGAAGCCCTTTCCGTGACCTCATACTCTAGCTCTGGGTGTACAACTACATGCTACCGTTATTTCCCAGTATTTCTGAGACAGCGTGAAATAGCTTGCAAGTAGAAACAAGTTTAAAAAGGGTGGAAGAGCTCTCATGTGATTGGTGTACGCGTTGCTCAGTCTGTTTATCAGATGGTGGTGCTGTGAAGAGGGGAGGGTCTGTGCCTCCACAGGGAAGTTAGAATCCTGAAAAATTTCAGGATGTAGGAAGATTTAAAATCTCATATTGTTCGGTTTTTAGCTCTGAGTGTGGAGAAATTACTTGGGACTCCAAATGTTTCTTTAACTTCCTAATAGACTATTTTTTGTAAAATCAATATTAGGAATCTTGTTCTTAAAGTGCTGGCAGCTTCACGCTTCAATTCAGTACTTGTTAGCATTTTGTCTGAGCTGATTGGAAGCCTATATTTCACTGAGAATTTTTTCAGCTTGAGAAATGTGCGTTTCAGGTCTGCTATGCCCTTGGTATATATTCAGGGACTGGTCTAATGATAATGGCAACCAAAAGAAAAAAAAAAAAGAGGCATTTCTTAATTGAATTTCATACCTGTTCCCCTTCTTATTTTACTACTAGTTAGAGAAAAGGATATGGATAGAAGCCAAAAATATTTCTGTGGTCATCTTAGCTATTAACAATTTTCCTCTGAACAGAAGGAGGAGAAGGAGGAGAAAAGCTTGACGTGTCCTTATGAGTGTTGCTTTGTCTGAAACTAGAAGCAGTAAATCCTGAATTCTTTGATACAGTGTAGCTACATGTAGACATATCTGTTCAGCTTACAGCTTCTAGCTGTAAAAAAAATGCAAGAAAAAATGCAAAAAAAAAAAAAGCAACTTCCCTCTATTTCTGTGCAAGCATTAGACAGTTTGGGGTCCTTTAGACTATATGTTCTAACAGGGAGTTAGCACTTCCTTTCTTTGGAGAGCTTCAGAAGTGGAGGAAGCATTACGAAATCTCATTGGCAAAAGAAGCATTTGGCTGTGAGTGTGTTGACGTGCTATTATTATCTGGCACCCCTCAGAGAGAGTGTGACTTGCCAGTCACAGATACAGCCAGTTCCCCTTCCCCTACAGTGAGGGAGAAATGTATCAAGAGAAGGAAGCTACCCTTTTGCTGCTTCAACTCCATAACTTACCTGTTTTTTCTGAGTGATTTTCCTTAAGCGAGAGCAAAGTACAATAACCAAATGCCGCAGTGGTTTACACTAACTTTTCAGCAAATAACATTGGAAAGAGGTTAAACATATTGCTATGGTGATAGGTGTATCTTCAGGACAAGATTTTGTGCTGGTTTTAGTGACTGGGTATTTTTTTGTTTAGGCATGTTTCTGAACTGATGTGTAAAATGTGATAACTGCCATCATGGTAAGTCTGTTGTTGAAAAGAAAACGATGGTGATGCTACTGGAAAAATCAGAAGAATTTCCTAGGAAAAAAGTGATCTTGTTTCCATCTTGTTAGTGCTTTGAATTATAAAAATTAAGAAATACATCTACTGAAAAGACAATACTGAATTATTTTAGAACTAGTAATGGTTTATACACCAGCTTTTAAACCCAGATGTTGGGATTCAGTTCCAGTTTATGGTGGCATGACTGGCAACAGTGGAGTTGGACCTGCGTTTATCAGCAGTGAAGGTGACCCACTGTTCTGAGGAGTCCTGTGTTTAATGAAGTAGAACATCTGTGTTTTACCTATCATGTAGGTATTTTAGGCTTTTATGGCTAGACTTGAGCTTCAGTGAGAACTGCCATTAAATTGAGTGAGTGGAGTGGAAAGAGTCTTAAATTTAGACAGCCTATTGCAATGTTAATCTCAGTGTTGCACAGCAGTCACTTAGAGACTAAGTGGGTAGAATAGACTATAAACAGAAAATTAACATGATCAGTCATAATTTAGATTGCACTTACAGGGCATAAATTCCCTATAAATAAGGAAGTTTGTCTAATTGTAAACCAGGACTGGAGCAGAGTAAACCAGAAAATGTATTTTTTAGACTGTATTTGGCTTTAACAGGTATCCTTTTGAAACCTAGTATTTTAGAAATGAAAGGATATACAGTATAGACAGCGTAATTTATGGCTTTCACTGATGGAACATTTCCCCCCCTCTCTCTCTCTCTCTCTCTCTCTCTCTCTCTGAAGCTTTTATTTAGATGGGGTCTTTTGTCCATTAAATCAGAACTATTTTCCTGTCTGGGGCAGTATTACGTTCTCTGACAAAGGCTGATTGCAGCTTTGTAGCTGAGAGCAGCTTATTAAAAGGTGTTATTAGACAGTCTAAAATTATTGAAAACAAAACAGTCCATGGGGACTGTAGCTGCCGCCTTTGCCTTTCTGCTCATTACTGGTGCTAAGTAACTCTTCTTCCCCCACACCTCCCAACCTGCTTGCAGTATTGGTATGTAAATTAAACCTCTTAGCACTCCCACAGATCTCAGTAAGTTTACAGTACAATGATATGGAAATCTTTTTCCTTCTAGTTTTAGAGAGGTGTATGTTTCCAGGAGAAACTCTTTTTGTTACTGATTTGCAAATATTACAGGATTTTTTTCAAACTTTCTGTACTGCAGGCAGTTGTTAAATTCCTATTAAATTTTTTCTTGACTGAATATCTTTTTAATGTTGTACTCTTCCTGCTCTTGAAAAGATTTCTCGTGATTTAGATGGACAAAGATGAGATTGAGATCAATGACCAATATTATTGCAAGAGTCAGTATGCCAGGCCAGACTTCCCTTCTCAAAAGTTGTGAAGGGTCAGAAAGCACAGCTCTGGGCTGGATATGGCCTGCAGAATGCCCTGACTATAAATGTAATTGAACAGGAAAGGTGTTGCTGGTATGAAGCTACTCACATGTTGACCCTAGCAAATAGTTATTTAAGTAACCTACTTGAAGTAGTTAGGTTAATTTCAGAGGCATAGTAAGTTAACTGGTGTGCTGTGCTAAATACTTCGCCAAGTAGTCCTGGGATGTAACTCCACTAGTATTTCAAGTGTTTCTGTAAGGGCTGGGAAAAAGTCCATAATCTATTTATTATAATAATCATTTGCTCAAATAAAAACTGGTAACAAAAGAACAACTCCTAAATGAAAGCATGGTTTTGTGGTTTAACATACAAGCTTGTGATGTTTGAGTTCTGTCCCTGGTTCAGCATTAGACCCAGGCAGATGACTTATTCTCTACACATCTTTCCTGGAGTAAAATAGAGATTATGATACTTGAATATGGAGTGCTGTGAAGTTGTTATTGATCATGCATTGCTTTGAAGATTAAAAGTGCTTTGTTTTTTGTTTATCATTTTACTTCTGAAATAAGAATTGTAATGTACAATAGCTTTAAACACATCAGCAAAGTTGCCCAGAGTTCTTTCTGGCCATATATAAGCTCCCTTTTTTAATCTTCTTTTTCTATAGGGTGAATCTAGTGATTGTACTGATCTAAAAGTGTTAGAGAGAAAATTGAAGCTTCAAATGCTCTGTCTCTCTTTCTTCTGTCTTTGTCTCCTTGTATTATTTCCCTTCTTTGATCTTGAATGGAAAAGTAGCAAAATATCTTTGTCTTAAAGGAAAAATACAAGATTTCTTAAGAGATCCCTTAGTTCATCATGTTAACTTGCCTGTTAAAATCAAATTAAATATGGCAGAGAATTCTGTATTACTGATACCCTACTGACCAAGCATTTAAAGCTGTATCATTAGTGGCTGAAATGGCAGGCAAATTAAAATATAACCATTTGGTTTTGCTTCCAGTACGACCATTCCTTTCCTATATAAGGACAAATATAATTTTTACATTGTAAAGAAATAAGAGTCAGCTTGCAGGCATCTTTTAGTTTCCCCGCTTCCACCATTTATAAATTATCCTCACTGAGTTCTGAAGAAGTCTTTCCTATTAGGGAAGTAAACTCTCATTCCAATTCTGTCTGCTTAGCTACCCACAAGAGAGGAAGAGGAGTGCTCATATTGGAGTTTTTCTTTAGAAGTCATGGAAAATGTGACACCTTGCCTCACTATGAGGTAGGTTGTAGGGTTTTTTAACTTTACCTTAATAGTGGGTTTACATCAGTAAGGGAGAGGGGAGAATTACTGAGTTCATGGTGCTGAGATTTCTCTCCCAGGCTTTCCACCTCAGTTGAACAGGACCTGCTGATGTTCAGAGCATCTGAAAAGGTGGCCTAAAGTATCTGACAGGATAAATAAAAATATTTCACGATAAGTAGCCTCTAAAATAAGGTCTTAAAAGAGAAAATACAAAGATAAGGTTAGTGGATATAACTATAGGTAAGGCATTGCTGTATCACGCACTGAAACATCTACTGTAATTTAATATGCTATTCTGTTAGTTATATATTTAATACCAGGTTTCTTTTTAAAACAAATTCTAATCATGGACATCTCTTTTTATCTTGCTATTGTAATAGTTTGCTGCTTGATAATGTTTAGGATCATGTTTTCAACATGCCTCCAAAAATGGGTCGGTAATAATCGCAGATGTACTGAAAGCCATCAGGCAGAACCACCTGCAAATCCTGTGGACAGAGTGTTAATGTCTGGGTAAATAGCTTTTCTTTTGATTGTCCAGTTAATATCCTTGGTAAGGTAGAGATTGAAATTAAGTTCTGTAACGCTGTCGTAAAAGAGTGTGCTTTGCAACTTTGTAAATACCAAATTTTATCTGAGAACACTTCTGGTTTTGAATAAAATATGCAGCTGAGCTGAGAAGGTTTCTTACCATACAAACTAAGTCTGGATTAACAAAAAAAAAAAGATTGTCATAGTCTTATTTACACTAAAGGGCTTTTTTGTCCATCCCTCTAAAATATCTCTGCATACCTCCTCACTGCACAGTCTGTAGGAACATTAAATATTGTAACTGAGGCAGCAGAATGATTTCTTTAATTTTATAGTATCCTCTCTCTAATCTGCACAAGTTGTGCTCACCACTAGTCATGGAATTTCAGCTGATTGTTGTGACCCTACATCATTTATTACAGTGTTCCAAGTATTCAAAGAGTTGATTGGTTGAACTGTGTTTAATTTTCAGGAAACGCTGTACTGTTTCTGCATCAGAGCATGATTTTGATGGATTGGAATTGTCAGACTAAGTCTGAAATATAAAAGATTACCAAAAGAAAAAATATTCCAAACTAAAAACAATTCCCTCATTGGATACCATACACATCTTTGAGAGAAACAGTTTTCATTATTGTTGCATGTGGTTAAATCAGATGGATAATGAAAGCAGGGCTTGTGTGTACAGATGCTGCTGGAAGCCCTTAATGAGAGGGAGATGCCAACAAACACAGAGGGACTTGGAGGGTGGAAGCAGCTGTACTGTAAAGGAATCCTAAATGAATTTCAGAGCTGATTAAGAAAGAATTGGAGATCAGAGGAGGACAGAGTGAACTGAGAGAATTTTTCTAAGTCAAGCAGGGATTCAGAGAGGGTTTCGTGAAGTTTTGGCTTACTGGTACGAACAGCAGCCTTATTAAACAAGATTAGAAGCTATTGAAAAGAAAAATCCATCTAATCTGTTAGATTTTTATAAACAATATCTAATCTTTATACAATACTTGTAAAAATATTCAAAAGACTTAGCCTTCAGATAATTAAACTTCCTAACATTCCCCTGCTGACGATAAGCTGTATTATTCCCATGTTGTGGTTGGGGCAAGTAGGGTGATGATTGGTAAGATCATAGATTTGATCAAGTGCAATGCACTCGTATCTTCTGTTTGCTTTGTGAAGGTCTGTGCGTTCCCATGAGACATGAGCAATATTCTGTGAAATCTGTTGCAGAGCTAGAAGTTAAGAGGTCTCTTGAGCATCCATCATGTTTTATGATGATAGAAGTAACTACTATAATGGCAAGATGTCACCTTGCTTGATAGCTAAACATCTCGGTAAGCTTGATGGTAGCAAACTTAAGATGGGGCAGAAGCTGATTTAGATTCAGTGTTTTAAGATAATAAATCTAAAATTGTCCTAATACCTCCTTAAGATAATAAATCTAAAATTCCCTTAAAAAGGGTAGAGGAAGCCTTATAGTACCTCTTTCTGCTAAAACCCTTTCTAAATAAATGCAGGAAGTTAAACTGATGCTATATAAGATTGCATTACACTGTTGTACAATCAGCCACCTAAATTAGAATAGGGGAGCTAGACAGTACTTAGTCATAAAATGGTGTTTTGCCCATGATGTTATCAGGAAGAAAATTCATACTATGGCAAAGATGCAAATGATGGCTTAATTATACGCTCCTACTAGCATAAGATGCTTTTAGATCTTTCCCTCAGATTCATGTACTGTGCTAATTAACAGTAATCCAACTGGAGGATCCCAGAGCAATGCTTCTGCATATTTTTTTTTGGCTTATGCTGGAGCTCTTATGTTCTTTTCTTAAATAATTAATAATCATTACTGCCTGCTGTGCTGTGGGTATGTGCTAGTGATCTCAGATCCCAGCATATTTGCACCATTCCTGTTCCTGTCAGCAGCTTGGTTTTGCTCTTTGCATAGGCTTTCATGTTAAGACCTTCATTAACTGGCAGTGGGGTATGGATTTCAGTGGCACTGGGCTTTGATGTCATTAAGTAGCAAGCTGTTAAAGGAAGTGCCACCTATTTCATTACTGTGACTATCTTTATGCAATTAAGTTAAATACCGAGTAGAAAACAGATGCATTTTACTAAATAACACTTAGTGCACAAAGCATTTTCATCTTCAGGAATTTTATATGTACCTTGCTGACCCCACCAATGCATATTATGGGTAAGCAGCATTGCTGTTAAACCTAGTGGGAAACCAAAATGCAGATCAGCGATGGAGCAGGGGTGATGAACCTTTGATGGCTTCTGTCTTCTTTTTTTATTCTTTTTTACAATTAAGTTCTCTTTGAGTTTACTGTGGTTTTACTCTGCTTCCATCTGCCTAGGGAAAACGGTTACTTTATTTTTTAGTGCTTCAGTGACCAAATGGCTATTTATTCTAGGCGGAGGTTCTCGGAAGACAGCGTTTTCTAGATTGGCTGAATTAGCTTTAATTAAGCTGTACTGAATTTTGCAGTGCCTTTGACTTTCTCAGCATAGTAATTATTGAAAAGTGGTCACGTAACCTGTTTTAATGCTAATGTGATTTATCTGATACGGCACTACCAGAGAAGTCGTGCTCCTCGGCCGTGCCCCGCCGCACAGGACAGCTAGAGGGAAAGCATGACCTCACGGAGACGCTCGGCACCACGTCATTTCGGAGTCTGCCCCAAAGGCTGTTTCTTAAGGTAAGCGTGTGGCTGACGCCAGGGACTTCGGGCCCCGCTGCTGCCAGCGTCTCCTGTGTCACCCATCCCGACGGCGGGGCTCCCTG